GCAGGCGAAAAACCTTTTAAAATGCGTGTTTTCTGAATGGAGATCGGATCGATCAGGCTAAGCCAGGCATCCTCAAAGTCCGGACTCTGGTCCGGATCCGGACCGAACCACAACTGTCTCTGGACTCTGAGCATATTATACTTTTCATATGTATTATCTGTATTATCTGTGTTATCTGTGTTATCTGCGAGACATCGCCACAACGCAACGAGTCGAAATTCTCCGCTATGTCCACTGCAAACAGCGCTCTGCATGTCCGACTGTTCCGCTGTCTGTGTGTGTCTGACAACGCATTGGTCCAATCACATTCAGCATCCCGTCAGCGTTTTTTCCCCCCACCAAGAGTCTGCGAATCAGAGGCACAGTAGGGCGGGTCTTCACGGAATGCGGGTGGGAAAAATGCGTGTGTGTTTAAAAAAAAAAAGTCAGAGCGAGAGTTAACAGCTCATCTAGTTGCATCTGTACTGTAGCTAGTAGCCTAGTTTCACCTACCGGGGTGGCATGGGGTGGCAACTGCCACCCTAAAAATAGGCCTTGCCACCCCAGCTGCCACCCCAGTTGGCAGCTTTGTTTTGAAAGAAAAGTTGTGGCTCATCGGACATTGATGAGAGATAGTCTCTAATGTCCGAGTGCAAGTGAATGCAGCACAAGATGCACGTCTTGTAACCCCTCCCCCGGCCCTGATTTCATTTGAACCGTACGGCGCAAAACGAGAAGCATTCGGACCCAAGTACGGAAGGAATGAGGTATTTGTGGTCTACAATGACAGAGAAGAGACTGTCAAGTTTGGCTGTACTCAGCATTGAATCAAAACGCACTAAAGCTGTTGATCTTAATAAGTTTGTGAGGCGTTTTGCTGAACAAAATGGTAATCGCGCATTCAGCTGTAATAGACATGTCAACTTGATGCTCTGCTCACGGATGAGCATACAAAACTGTTAAGATGATGACCTTACGTGTGTAAATATATATTTTTCTTTGTGGGGGTCTGCCCCCAAAAAACAGTTTTAAGTCCTGAGAAAGTCAAATAAGACGGTGTGTAAAACTACACTGCCCAGCCAAAAAAAAGTAACCACTTTGATTTAACTAGGCCAGTAGGTAAGGGCATTCCACTGGATAATAACTGAAGTATAAAAGAATGCATGACTGAAGTGATGGAGACCATGTTTGAAGGCAAACAAAAAGAGGAAATAACAGGTCAAATCAAGCAAATCCCCCTCTCAGATTCCACAGCAACCAGAAGAACATAAATACTGGCTGGTGATTTGATTAATCAGCTTTGTGATGGAATAAAAAATGCACAGTGCATTTCCTTAGCTGTGGATGAGTCCACTGACACCACTGACAATGCTCAGTTGCTGGTGTTTGTGAGTTTTTATGATGAGGCAAAGGGGGAGTTTGTTGAAGATGTGTTGGGCCTGACGAACCTCAGTGGACACACAAGGGGGCAAGACATTTATAAAGCAATAATGGGAATGCTGAATGAAAGAGGGTGCAGCTGCCTTTATTCATAACTGTGCAGCTCTTAGACTGCGACTCTGAGGGATCAAGCACAGACACAATAACAATGAAAACTGCTGCATACAGATTATTTTTGTTTTTGCAACCTCGTGTTAAGAATCTTGTTGCAATTGTTTAAAAGTTTGAATGACCGTAATAAACGGACCTTTGTCTTATTGAAACAATTTTTTTGGACCTTTAAGATTTGTATTTGAGTACCCCTGGGCTAAGCTAACGTTGTATATGCTCCGTCCACACTCACAACAACGGCATACAGACATAAATAAACCAGCGACTGTATTCGCCATGACACAGAGTCTGTGGTTTGTACTTCTTTAACTTTTGTCTAGTTTCTGAACAGATATGAGGAGCTGTGAGCTCTGAGTGCTAACAGCTATCGGCTGATGTTTTGGTTTTCTGATTCAACGTTTCTGATCCTCACCGCTGATTGGCTACCGTGAGATCGCGTCACGTGAATTTGACGCTTGAGTTGAAAAAATTGAACTTGAGCGGTTGTTGCGGCCCCCTCCAACCGCGGCATTCGCATCAACCGCTTAATTCGCGCCGTCGGAGCGAATTCGCGTCTGTCCGCATCTCTGCATTGACTTTACATGTAATCGCCCCGCCCCCAAAAATCGCATCACGTCCGGTGTGAACGCAGCAGGTGGAAGAAGTACTCAGATCGTGTACTCTAGTCAAAGTACATGTACCAGAGTGTAGGAACAATCTGTTACTAGGAAAAGTCCTGCATTCAAAGTATTGGCATCAAAATATACTTAAAGTACCAAAAGTAAAAGTACTCATTATGCAGGTTTTCCAATTTCAGAATAATATATATTATATGTTTAGATTATAATTATTAATGCATTAATGTGTTATCAAAGCTGGTAAAGGTGCAGCTAGTTTTAATGACTTTGTATACGGCAGGGCAGCTTGTGAATTTACTCCAGGTGTAACTAAAGTTAGTTACTGTTGGTAAAACAGTAAGGTTGTTTGTTACACTTAAATATGTTTCAGTAGTGCATTTTAGTGACCTGCCATTAATGGCAGAAGGTAAATAGTCAACATGACAGGTTAGAGGGGTCATGAAATACTACTTTTAAGTGAAAGTAAAAAGAAGAGTAGTATTAAATACAGGTTAATACTGTATACAAATGTATTTAAGGTACAACAGATTTAATTGAATGTGAAATTAAATTCGACATATGTGTTTATCACATAAAAGAGTATACAGACAGAGTGAAGGTATGTGAATGGTTATTGAGGAATGTAAGTTGAAACTGAAATGCATAAGATATTTAATATGTTTATATGATTTTGTGTAATAAAACAACCTGTCAAGTAATCTGGAAGGAAACTGAACACAACGTGTCCTCATTACTTCTGTTTCACCTGCACCATACATCATAATTGTTACTGTGGTCCTCATATCGGGGACCCGTAACATTAGCATGTAAGCAAGTGGTAGCTACATCTGTGCTAACAATGCTAATCGTAGCCTCCAAGTTAAAACGTAATAGAGAAGTGTTAAGCATTAAAGGTGGGGTAGGTAATTCACTTCAGAAATACTTTTTGTTATGTTCCATGGAATGCTCTTAACATCCCGATAGCAATGAATACATTAAATGCTTTGACAATAAATACATAAAAAAATGTCATCTGTGGAAGCTGTGGCACTGTAAAAAGCACGACCAATCATCTGAGCCGGCCCGGCTAAAATAACTGGATGGCCTACCTGCCTGTCAGCCTTCCATCTGTGCACAAACTTATCTCGTGCCCTCATTGGTCGTGTGCACGTTCGTGTGTGTTGGAGGAGGGGCTCTGTAAGGAAGTCTGAAGGAAGGGGCAGATTTTTTTCGGATGCGTACTTTCAAATTCTAGCGCACTCGAGCTGGTTTCTCCATTCTTACCCTACCTTTAAGTGGGAATCCCCAGCCTTTTTTATTAATTGTATTACCAAATTGGTATCAAATAAATAGTCAGCATTGGTAACACCAAGTTCCTATGTTCGGCAGTTATAGACTGGACTTTCTTGTACAAGATAAAAAAATCAATATGGACCATTACTGTATAATTATCCTTAAATGATGTTATACAATGCACCTAATAAACAAGTATGGCATTTTGAAACATGATGTGCAACAATCTTTACTGTAATTTGTGTGCATTTTGTTGTTAACTAAGATGATGTTATGATTTTTCTTTTGTTAGTATGCACGTGGACGCTTTGGACATACCTGGAGAAGGAAGAAATGGGTTTTCGGAATGATGGGAGTTAAAGACAAAAAGCGGAGACTAGTGTTGAAACTAGTGGAGAAACAACCAAGATGCCACCTTGTCCCTCTGATTAGACGGCATGTTAAATCAGGAAGTAGCATTATTAGTGATGAGTGGACGGCACAGGAAGTGTGCTGAGTAACATGGGGTACAACCACTACACCATAAACCACAGCAGGTGGTTTGTGAACCCCCAGACGGCAGTCATACCCAACATAATGAAAGAGCTTGGTCGACCATCAAAGGACATGTCCGTAGACTGAGAGGAAACCGTACAGAGAGTTTGTTGGAGGAACACCTCAAGGTTCTTGAATGGTCATCTTGGCTCTGCTCACCCTGATGGACTGCTTGGACGCTTGTTCAAGAATATAGTATACACAAAGCCTTTCCAGTCTGAGTACCGTTATGTCTTACCAAGTCTTTCATTTATGTCTGAGAAAAGCTTTTATGTTTAAATATGTGTATCAGTCATACTAAACAGTCATTACTTTGAGGCCTGATTTTCTTCATGTGTGAATAACATGTTTTGCTTGGTTCTGTTACATCTTACTTTGCATTTCATGTGAAAAATGTGTATTAGGTAAGCGTGAATGTTATAATTCATTAATAAATAGACATGTGTATTAAACTTAAAAACAACAAATTAGAAATGGTTGTGACTCATTAATAAATGGGAATGTGTTTTACACTTTACAATAAGGCTCCCTTTTGGCAGTTATAAATGTTAGTAACTCATTCATAAATGGTCATAAGAGATGCCAAGAAACATCAAGATGGATCGGGGGAGAATCAACTCAGTGAGCAACAGATACCAAGGATGTTGGTTGATGAAGAAGATGAAGTAAGCTAGGTAGCCAATATAAGGCTTAGCAGTACAGATAAATGTGGGGTCACTATTTGGCAAGCAACCGGGCATAGTTACCCTTTTTATCTCATGTCTTATAAAAGCTTATTAATGATTTATAAAGTGTTCACAAAGTAGGAATATTGCATTTAAGTACAGTATACTTGAGTAAATGTACTTAGTTACTTTACACCACTGGTGATAGCCTACTTCGTTCATATGTCACAATAAAGCCTCACATGTCTCCATCCTCTTACACAGGCGGAATAACATCATTTAACTTTCACTTTCGTTGATAACCTCAGTGGGGCAGATTTACCTAGTAACAGGTGACGCTGATGCTCAGACTAAATTCTCATTGGTTCAAAAGGAGGTTGATGTTAACCCTCCTTCTTGAATCACCCTCACTGTAGCCCCACTCTCCAACAGAGAAAGGACGCTATATTTTTCTCTCTGTAAAGAAACATTTTAGTACTCAGTCAGTGAAATCCTCGAATGTGGAGAAGATGAATATCTTAGTGTTTCTGGTTCTTCTGGGAATAGGCCCTCATGGCGCAGCAGCAGGTGAGTTGAGACTTTTTATTTTTTAAGTTGGTTGATTGTAAAATTAGAAATAGGCCTACTTCTTTGAATACTGTATACGTTCAAAGTTGTTTTGATAGTCGTATAATTTCAGGGTTTATTGCAGATTAGAGAAATGTAAGAAAAGTCACTAAACCTTTATCTTAAAGTTCACGTTATTCCTCTGCAGCTCACTGATCGATCCCGAGTTTAAACATGTTTAGTTAGCCTCTGTTGGATTTCTGTCTAAAGTAAATTACATTTCTAAAGAGGGTCAAAGTGTGTTTTCCCCTCTGATATCTGGAGGTGTGTAGCGCAGTGGATAGAGCCATGGTGTTGGGATAAGGGGAGCACAGGTTCAAACCCCCGTGCATTCAGCATGTCGTTGTGTCCCTGGGCAAGACACTTCACCCCAAATTGCTCCTGTGGGGAGGTCCACAGTGTTGAGTATGTAAGTCGCTTTGGATAAAAGCGTCTAACAAGTACCATGTAATGTAATATCTTTATGTGGACCATTATTTTTTAAATATCAGGACCATTAAGACCGACACGGCCTGATCAGTCTACGCAGACCAAAAACAGTCCATTACCCACTCAGATAAAAAAAAATTAAAAAATTAAAACAAGGTAAAACAAAGCGTTTCTTTTCCAAACCTGTATTTAATTCACGCGCATAATTAACTCTTTAAGTTGTTGTTCGTAGCCAATTTATGTATTTTTTTAAAAGTCTGTTTTCATCAATTAATCATAACTTTAAAAAAAAATAGAAATATGTTTATATCAGGCTAAAGGATTTACATTTGCATTCCTACAAGTCAGATGCTGGCGTTGTTTTCCTCCTACTTCCTGCTTTGTTGGTACAATATTTAATATATTTCACTAATGCTTGTAAACAACATTATTGACACTGTAAACCATACATTATTAATTGATTATCTTTTTTTACCCCAATAACTTCAATGAACACCCCCAAAACTAAATATTTGCAGAAGAGCAAATAAATACAAGCTGGCCACCTCTCATAATGAATAAACTATTAAACATGTGTCTTTTAATATTTCATATCAACTTACTGTGCTTACAAATACAGTTTATATCGTCATATTTTGTGAAATAATAATAATAATATTTTGAAAATAATTGAAACCATTTCTCCATCATTTGACTCCACATACTGAAACACATCTGCTAGTACTGCATACTGAGATGTGTTTGTTGGGTCAGATTACACCCCACTGTAACATTGACTGTGTGCACAATATCAGGCTGTTTATTAGAGCTAGACTGATAAATCAGCTTCCTATATTATTGACTGATATTCCTTCAATGCAGTTAAATGTATCTATGCAGGTTAATAAGCTAAAATGCCAAACTTAGTCTGAGGTATTTTAGTTTCTCTGTTACACCGTTTGTCCACAAGATAGCACACTTTTATTTTTAAACGGTGAAATGTCCTGCTCAATACTATCCTGGTCACAAAAGATCAGTATCAATTTATTTTATGTTGTGTTTTTTATATGAAACTACAATGGTATGAATTATATATTTTTATTATTCCCAAATATTTATATCAGTTTCTCAAAAATCCAGCATTGGTCGTCAATACAGTATTTCATGTATTAACAGACAATTATATAAACAAAAATATATAAAAATAGGTTATCAAAAATATTTTGTATTCGAATGTGAAATAAGTGTTTTACTTTGCACAAATCAGGATCCATGAAAGTGAGGGATTGAATTGGGCAATTGTTATTCCTGGTTGTTGCTAAAAAAATATTTGAAATCCACAAAAGACACTTACTGCTATATCATACAAGCAGAAGAGTTGTGAGTCTTAGCAAAGAGTACATATTTCAATCTGTTGATGTTGAATCACATGCAGTGTATATTTTCTGGTCAGATGTTTGTTATTTCAAATTTCATACTATTCTCATAATGATTCATTCTGAATAAACCTCAGTTTGACTTCACATGAGATATCCAGCACAGAATTAAAAAATAAACGCCTGTTATTGCAAACTCATTCTATCGATGAAAGTCAGACACACAACTGCATCATCTAAATATTTCTATATATTTTCTATATTTTATTTCAGAGTTAATACATATTTGAATAACTATCATCATAACAGAGATTGTTTGGATGTCTTGGATTTACTGTAGTTCTTTTGATTCTGTGTGCTGGAAAGTAACATAGATACGACTGTGAAATATGAACTGAAAAAATGACATAAATACTTTCCTACAGTGCCTCACTCTCTGAAGAATTTCTACACTGCGTCCTCTCAAGTCCCAAACTTCCCAGAGTTTGTGGTTGTTGGGTTGGTGGATGACATTCAGATGGTTCACTATGACAGTAACACCAGGAGAGTAGTCCCCAAGCAGGACTGGATGAACAGAGTCACAGAAGATGATCCTCAGTACTTGGAGAGGAACACTGGATACTCTGTGGCTGCCCAGCAGACCTTCAAAGTCAACATTGACAATTTAAAGCAGCGCTTCAACCAAACTGGAGGTTTGTTCATATTTCACTTTCTAATGATAAAATGTTGATTATATTTTCATCATGTATTTCAGTAAAAATATGTTACCTCACACACACGCACGCACGCACACACACACACACACACACACACACACACACACACACACACACACACACACACACACACACACACACACACACACACACACACACTAACTGGCAGAAACACAGTAGACTCAATAGAAACATCTCTGAGACTGACACTGCTAGATGCTGCTGTACTACACTAATAAATCCATCCCATAATAACCAGCAGAGATTATTGACACTTTATCTCCTCTAGATTAGGAGAATAACTCTACCGATCTCACAGTGAAGTGGTCCATAATAACTCTGTCCATCACAACAGTGTCACAGCACACAGCTGATGGAGGATCATTATGGTCTGGTTCCTAACCTACTGCTCCTGCTGGTCCTCGTGTGAGAGGAGGAGCAGTGTGATTTATAAAGCTGACAGGTCAGGGGGGATGTCTCATTCAGATCACCGCTTTCAAACGTTTAACACCACTCTGCTGACAGTGTGTCCATCCCATAATATACATATATAGAAACTATTCATTGTTTAGTTGCACAACAGAACATTTATTGATCACAATTTGATAGTAAAATAAACATTTACGTTTTTTATTTTATAAAGCAAATTAAAACCTGTTCCAGTGTGTCTAATATGAGCTTTTCAGTTTTTCTCTGTTTTGTATCATTTCATATTAAGTACTGTTTCACGATGGTCGGATTAAAGAAGCAATTTACAAATGTCACCGTTGCTTCTGGGAACTTGTGATTAATTCAGTTTGCTCATGCCATTAAAACATCTGTCTATAGCGCTAAAATAATTCAGCGATTAGTTGACCAAAAGAAAGTTAATTATCAACCATTTTTATTAGGAAATAATAATTCAAGCTCTTTAATTAATACAAATTCCAAGCATTTAATAGTTCCAGTTCTAAAATATATTAAGTTTCTCTGTTTCAAATAATTTAATATTCAATACTGTTAAAAGATGCAATTTCAAGATTTCAAGATCTCAGAACCTCTGAAGAGGCATTTTACAGAGCAAAACATGTATTGATTAATATTTAAAAAAAACAATCATTATCAATCTACAATGTCTACAATTTATTTCAATTTTATTAGATACGATTACATTTACTTTACCTCAGTGTGTCTGTGCCATAATAAACGTATATAGTGCAGAAACAGTTAGTTATTACAACAGTTTATTAGTAGATCAACAGACAAATAAGTGACAACTATTTTGATAATGAAAACATCATTCATGTCTTTGATTTAAGCAACATGTTGAACATTTTCAAGTTCCAGTTTCTCAAACAATGCAGCTCTTATCTGTTTAATATTCTTTTTTTAAATAGCCTCATGTTATTTTTCAAATGTTCTTACATTTTTAGATAATTAAATTGTAATTGATTAATCAACAGGTAATTGATAGTGGAAATACTCATTATCTTCAGCCCTAAATCACAAAGCTACAGAATAGATTAGTCTAACTCTACTGTACTGACTCAGTGTCGGTCCACCCATCAGCAGGTGCAACATCTGCAGGTGGAAACAGCTGTTGGCTGCATCAAATGATACAATAATAATAATAATACATTACATTTATAAAGCGCTTTTCCTGGTGCTCAAAGCGCTTACAAGGAAGAAAAACAAAATAACAACAAAAGTAGAAAGTACTAAGCTAGGTGGAATAAGGGCAAGGGGTTAGTTGATTAGGAGTTGAAGGCAAGAGTGAAAAGGTGAGTTTTGAGGGATTGTTTGAATGATGTGAGAGTGTTGGCGGATCTGACGTGGCAGGGGAGGGAGTTCCAGAGTGTGGGGGAGGCTGCAGCGAAGGCCCTGTCACCCCAGGTCCGGAGCTTTGTCCTGATGGGCTGCAGTAGGTTAGCTTCAGCAGACCTGAGGCGACGGGTGGGGGTGTGTCGTTGGATGAGGTCACAGAGGTAGGGGGGGGGGCAAGGTTGTTGAGGGCTTTGAAAAGTGAAAAGTAATATTTTAAAGTCAATGCGGTGTTTGATGGGGAGCCAGTGGAGGTCATGGAGGATAGGGGTGATGTGGTCGGAGCGTCGGGTGGAGGTGAGCAAGCGGGCAGCTGAGTTTTGGACATATTGAAGTCTTTTTAGTATGAATGCAAGTGATCCAAGAAGTATGCTGCTGCAGTAATCCAGTCGGGATGTTATAAAGGCAAGGATCAGAGTTTCAGCAGCGGTCGATGAGAGGGAGGGTCTGATGCGGGCGATGTTCTTTAAATGGAAGAAAGCGTTTTTTGTGACCTGGTTGACGTGAGGGAGGAAAGTGAGGGTGGGGTCGAGGATGATGCCAAGGTTACGGATGTGAGTGGAGGGGTTGACAATGGAGCCATCGATGGTAAGAGAAAAATCTTGGGTTGAGCGGGTAAGTGAGTTTGGGCCAATGATTATAAGTTCCGATTTGTCACAGTTAAGTTTTAGAAAATTGTTTTGCATCCACATTTTAATGTCAGTGAGGCAGGTGCTGAGCTGGGATGCATCTTGACAATGCATCTCTCTCTCTCTCTCTCTCTCTCTCTCTCTCTCTCTCTCTCTCTCTCTCTCTCTCTCTCTCTCTCTCTCTCAGGTGTCCATATTTACCAGTGGATGTACGGCTGTGAATGGGATGATCAGACTGGTGAAGTTAAAGGTTTTTTGCAGTTTGGTTATGACGGAGAAGACTTCATATCCTTTGACCTGGAGACAGGGACATACATCGCTCCAAAACGAGAGTCTGTCATCACCAAACACAAGTGGGACAGTAACAAAGCTCAGATAGCACAGTACAAGCACTACCTCACCAAGAGTTGTCCTGAGTGGGTGAAGAAGTATGTGAACTATGGAAGAGCTCTCTTGCTGAGAACAGGTACAGTCACATGACCTGATGTAGTTTCATGGACTCAACAATGTTAATATGCTTTCTATGTTTCTAACTAACAGTGACATTACAATTCATGTTAACAACAAATAAAGACCCTCTATGTTTCAGTTTACACCATTTATTTTCCTCCCTTATACCTTCCTCTTCCCTTTTACCCCATTTTCTCTGTCACCTAGTGTTGCACATGCATTTCCTCTCTTTCCCTCCATTTCCTCTCTCCTTCTTTTCTCTTCTCTCTTTCTAACACTACCTGCTTTTCTCCCTTCCTAATCTCTCTCACCTCTTTCATCTGTCTGTCCCCCATCTGTCTCTCCCTTCTCTTCTCAGTTACACTTCACTGAGGTTTACAAAACATTACCAATGCATGACTTCATACAAGTGATAATAATATAAACATGAACTAATAATAAATAACCTTCAAACTGTCTCTCTCTTTACTCCCCAGACCTCCCCTCAGTGTCTCTCCTCCAGAAGTCTCCCTCCTCTCCAGTCACATGCCACGCTACAGGTTTCTACCCGGACAGAGCCATGATGTTCTGGAGGAAAGATGGAGAGGAGCTTTATGACAACGTGGACCACAGAGAGATGCTCCCCAACCACGACGGATCCTTCCAGATGAGTGTTGACCTGGACATTTCCTCAGTCCCAGCTGTAGACTGGAAGAAGTACCAATGTGTGTTTCAGCTCTCTGGTGTGAAGGAGGACATCGTCAAAGCACTGGACCCAAAAGAGATCAGGACCAACAACGGTACGACTGGAGGTTTACTGTAACATGTCATTTTGACCTGTGATGGGTTGTTTTTATGTTTTTTACCACCTTTGTAAATTAATATGACTTTTTAAATCACAATTCAGAGATCAAAGGCACTGTATTGATCTAATGGACGGTTTTCAGTCAATCAGAATGAAGTTGTTAAGCCGTACTGACAGTTCATGTAAAAACACAGTATGATTGTGTCTGTATGTTGGTCTGGTTGGCAGATTGATGTTCTTCTCCTCTAACCTGCTCCATCTGTTCAGGCTGTGAATAACTCTTGTTGTTTTCTGCTCAACAGGAGATCTCAGCTACATTTACATCATTGTTGCAGTGGCTGTTCTCGCTCTCGCCCTCATCGCTGTGATTGGATTTGTGGCTTACAAAAAGAAAAAGGGTGAGACACCAAATACAAACATCATAAATGTGTTCCATATTTAGATTTGTGGCTTAGAGTTGATGCTTATAACTATATTGTAAGAGTGAAGCAAACTTCCACAGTAAGCTTTGTTTTGGCTCTTTGTACAGTGTCATGATAAAATAAGAAAGATTTTGATTTCATTTGTAATTTCTACTGGATCATTTGTGTTGTCAAGTGTACTTTTTGTACCAGGGACAGTAGATGAAATCATGTTTTACTTGTCTTTCATTACAGCCAAATGCCCTCCATCTCCTGACAACAGCTCTGAGCTCTCTGAGAAACTGAATCCAGATCCAAAATAAAAACACATCCCCCTGCACACGGTGAGGGGCTTCATATGAACATTAACTATAAAAAAAAACCTCCTGTTATACTTTATCTGCTGTACAACTTTTTGAATAGTAGCTATAAAAGGAATCTTTGGAATGTTTTGCAAAGATGCTTTCAGAAACACTTACTTTAGCCTGCAAGATAAAGTGATATATTAAAACTCAAATATCATTCTTTAGAAAACATACATTTCAACAATCATTACATTTTGACAATCATTTATAATCCAGAAATGTATGCTAAACTATTGTGTTTTCTATGTTCTGATTTTTCTCTTTTTGTCTCTTTAGGTGTATGGAATAATATTGCACTGGATCAAAGAGCAGTGCCCCCACATTCTCCTCTTGGAATTGGTTATTCATGATCATATCATCAACTGATTTTGGTTTGATATCTAGTTATATACACGCATTCATTGCAATACAGAGAGACACATTTAGAAAATTGAGTTGGCACATATAGATAAATGTTCGCAATTGATCATTTGGTTTCACATTTAAAAAAGAATTAAATGTTTTCTTGGTAAATAAAATCCGGATGATTATTTTATTATGTAAGCAGAAGCAAAATACAATATTCAAAACTGTTGCTCTTGGGGTTTCGGTTAAAAATCAATATTGGTAACGAAACATTAATATACACATACACACAGACATCTACAGATATCCATTTTCATACACTCCCAGGGTCTGGCGATCATAATATATACCTTGAGATAACAGATACATGTCAACAATTAGAGTTTTCTTTCATATTTAAACTGAGAAAGCCATTATTTGTTTCTCCAGTTGAGTAACATCACTCGAGGCAATAGGGAAAAATCAATCATTGACACTTTTAAGAATATCCTACCTAAATTAGACACCCTAAAGGGCCCAAAGTGGCAATGCAATGGCTGCCAATCTGTGTTCCTGCTGCTGATAAATTGTACTCCACCTCCAAGCCAGTGCATGCTGGGATTGATTTGATTCCCAATTTATATTTCAATCAGACAATTTAAAAAGTCTGAAATGGGCCATTCTGAATAATGACTTGTAATCCTTTGATGTGACTACTGTAAATATCCTTCTACCGCTGTGTGAAAGTGCTCTGAAGAAATCAGCCGTTATTTAAAACGGAAAAGATTTAATCTTGCGGCCATTAGAGCCCATTTTATGACAAGCTGTCATTACAGCTCTTTCTAGTGGGAAGAACTGGAAATGGATGTATTGAGTTGTTGTATCACTGTGGTGGATTATATATACAGCATGAAATGACACAAACAATGATAGGTTGTATCAATGTCGCCCACACACATCTATATTTTCCAGTTGTGTAATTAATTTGCTTGTATATGTTTTGATTATTAGATGCATATAATGATTTATGTTTTTTGAGGTTAAGCTAAAATGAATTAGTAGTGTTTTTTTGGTGTATAATATAAATATTTAATTGGTTTTAAAAAAATGTTTGCTAAATGATTTTGAAAATATTGTTGCTAGTGTTTAGGCACAAGGTACATTTAATAAACATACGCATTGAATAAGGACGTTAAAAATCATTTATTGTTTTGGGTGAACGTTAAGTTGTCCTGCTTTGTCATTCCTTTCTCTATTGCTGTTTTGCGTTCCAATAAATACCCACATTTTCCAAAAGTCTTGTGTCTTTTTGTGATTCCTTGTGCTGCAATTATTTGAATATCCACTGAATATTGTACAAAAATAGATCAATACAAATAATAATAAAATAGAAATATGAAAAGATAAATACATACAAATAATAATAATAAAATAAAACAGCAAAAAGGGTGGGGGGGGGTCATCCGTGTGTGTGTGTGTGTGTGTGTGTGTGTGTGTGTGTGTGTGTGTGTGTGTGCTAAGGTGCAGGTCAGAACCATTCGATACACTTTAATCAGGAGGTTAAAGACCCTGAAGTGGTTCAAAAGATGTGGGGAAATCAGAATGAATTACTGGATCAGCACAGTTGTGGCATGTCTGTCTGGATCCTTAGAGCATAAGTTATTTGCTCCATCTGATAGATTTCCCAGACCTTCTCAGTCCATACATTGTATGTTGGGGGGTCAGGCTTTAACCACTTCATTGAAATACATTGAATTGCTGCTGTAAGCAATATTTGTAGGAGATATTTCTTAGCTCTTCCCTCAATGCCTTCTGGTATCACACCTAGTATTGCCACCTTAGCATCCTTTGTGACATTTTGATGGAAGGGCCTCAAACACTTCATCCCAGAAATGCCATGTTAGTTTAGGACATGTCCAAAACACATGGGTATTGTTGCCCACTTGTGCACCACAACTTCTCCAACATCTATCTGAGTTTGTTGGGCTCATTTTAGCTACTATTTCTGGTGTTCTGAAAAATCTTGTAATTACCTTCCATTTGAATTCCCTCCATACACTTTAGGCAGTGACTATTAAGTAATCTTTTATGAAACTTTTCTGCCTTCCTCTTTTTCTCATAGTTTGGTGCTTTTTTATAAGTTAGGTCTTGACAACTTGTAAGTGTTATTTGTTTCTCATAGGAGACACACTAAGCAAGAGGAAATGTTAAAAATAATACTGATTTATTACATTCTATTTGACATTTTATGAGTTTGTGTGAATGTTTTTTTCTCAATGTGTATGACTTGACAGCCACTAAGCTCTTGTTCTTACTGCACATATCCAAGCTCAATGTGGTGCTTTGTTTCCTGTAAAGAAACCTGTTGCATCAAAATCTGCCTGGCAACTGATGACATAACAACTGTGGCTTCTCTAAATCAACAGCGTTTGTCTAACTAGATGTACTGTAGTGTGTGCTGTAAGTACCTACAGTATAAAATACCCCAACCAGATGAACTCACACATTATATTATTTAGGTGTTATGGTACTATAGCTTTGACAATATTTTGTGTAATTAAGAAAATGTGCCGTTGGTTTTCAATTAAAACAATTAATCTGAGAAATGTATTTGCCAGTCTCCTGTGAGCTTCACTGTTAAATTTATGTTAAAAATAATTGAAAATACTACAAAATACAAAAGCACTATCAACAATAAGTGATATTATCTAGTTTTTAAAGTATTATAACAGATATTGTAAAGCAGAAATCTCACCACAGGTGTATTTGCAAGTATCATGAGAAGAGGTTTGGCCCACGCTGCGTGTTTGTGCTCACTTGATGACGAGCAAAAGAACAAACAAATTCTGTTGTGAGCATGTGATGGGTTTACATTTTTTCTTCCACAGTTTAATATAGCAAGAGAATCTATTTTTTAAAACTACAAAAAAGACTTACCTAACATTGAATAAGTATAATAATAAATACATTTAATTTATATAGCGCTTCTCATCTAATCCCGAATTCCTTGTATGTGGTTGAAACTTAAAGAGGACATTACCCACATGTCAACCTGTTTCCACTGAAGGCTGAAAATGTCTTGCTTGTATTTACAAAAGCATTTAAATACGTAACATTCTGTATTATTTTCAGGAATCGTCCACATGAAATTCATCAGAAAGCAATATATAGTATCAGATAAAGGGAATCAATACACAACATGAATGAGTTGACCAACAGTCTTTATTTAGATCTGAGTGTTGTAAAGTATTAGTACAATTATTTTTAGAGGTTGCATGGCTAGAATAAACTGCAAAATGCATTACATAACCTTGTACGTATTAACATACAAAATACCTCTGTTACACACCATAAAGAACAAAAACAAACAAACAACAACATGACAACATGCTCTTGCAAAGTTCAGCTTCTTATGTAGCTAAATAAATGGTTCTACGCAGCATCTTCATACATACATTTATTGATCCCGAATCAGGAATGCAACACACACTCTTGGAGACAAAGTTGGGTCATTCATTTCCAAAATCAGATGTCAACTATTCCAAGATACTTTTGAAAAAAATATATTGAAATATTGACAAAATAGGTTGATCTGGGTCAAACTCAGAACATCCCCTTCCTGTAGCGGTGGATCAGCTCGGATACATCCTCCTTACACACCTTTATCCAGCCATCCTCCCGCATGTGGTACACTAGAAGAACACACACACAAAACACAGATGAGCCTCACATATACATGGTGCCACCAGTTTACCCTAATCAAGTTCTCACAGCGTTATACTAAACATTTAAGGACTATTCAATATGCACGTCTTTTCTCATTCATAATTCTTCTGTGTGCATGATGTGCTTTATTGTAATATGTATCAGTAGAGACAAAACAGGAATTATGGGGAGAAAGAGAGATAGGGAACAACATTAGTTATAGGTATACACTGTTATTTGACACTTCATTCTTGTTGGCAGTGTTCATTCATTTGATTTCTCGTTCGTTTTGTGCAAATTAACACTTTTAACATGATCGTACGGATGTGGTTCGGGGGTTGTGTGAGAGCGTTCAAATGTCTGTTCTTGTTTACTTTATTATATTGATTGCTTTGTGTTGCTTGGATTTATTTAGTTTCTGTCTTTCATGTTTTTGTGTCCCTGGATCCGCTTGAAAACTAAATTATGAAACTCTCATATCCTTAAATTAATAATGAAATGATTACCACAAAACAATGGTTGAGGATTATGTCATATTTTTGGGATGATGAAAAGTCAGAGGATCACAAAAATGTTTAAAATCATCCTGAGGGGGGCATGAATGCATGTACTGAATTTCATGGTAATCCCTCCAAAAAAATTGAATATTGAACTCAAACACAAAATGTCAACCTCTAAGTCTAGTCTAGGGATCAAGCAAATACGTATGAACATTCCATTCAATAGTTGTTAAGATTTCTGACTGGAGTAAAAAATCGACCCACTTTACTTACAACCATAGTGTGGCAAAAAAGAACAAATTGACAGAGGTACAAGATATACTTTAAGTTAAATATAGTATACTCACTGTTGACAAACCCTCCAGAGTAGGCGTCCCTGTGCGTAGCGTGAACGATGCCCCGGCGGCCCAGTTCATATGCCTCCTCCACCGTCATGTCCTCCCGGTAACCGCTGTCCACCACACCATAGGCGAAACTGCTGCCACAGCCGGTAGAGAACATACGGCCGGACAGACGGGTCGCGTTATCGTCCACATAGTACAGCCCAGGACCCTGCAGAGCACAGTCATCACATGGTCTGTGGGAAGGTTCACTTCATATACAGGTCAATTATTGAGCTTCACCATTAGTGATATACAAATAATAAAAATAAGACACTACAGTTTAATTTAAGAGGTTTGAGCTGCAGGCCAGTTGATGGTTTCTGTCCATATGGTTCCTTTTATGCGTCATATTGAAGTGTAATAAATATTTGAATATGCTGTCCTTTTATGTGTTGGATCCCCATGTGATATGTTGTGATTTCTGCATGCATACAAACATTCGACTTAAAACAGTTTAATATCATTTTAAGTCAATACAACAAATGATGATGCTTTCATATGACAGGCATCTAAAAAGAAACAGACACACAGACACACAGACACACAGACACACACACACACACACACACACACACACACACACACACACACACACACACACACACACACACACACACACACACACACACAGCTAACCTCTTTGTCCCATCCGCAGATCATGCTTCCCATAGAGAGGCCCATGCCTCTGTAACCCACCATCATGTTAGACAGCAGCTTGGAGGAAGCAGCCACTGAGATCCTGTGGTTGTTCCTCAGCCTGTACAGCCTGGAAGAAGAAAGAAAACAAGGTACCAATCAATTACCAAGAAAATCAATTCACAAATTACAGTAATCAGTCACACAGGTGGGTCAGATTGGACTGAATTTGTGACTTTCAAAAAATGAACTTGAGACACCTTTATTTTATTTAGGTAGAAGTGTTCTATGAATGTTTTTGTTTGTAATTTTATTTGTAATAAAATGACAATTACTTATAACACGCATGTATTTACAAGGACCTCAAGTCAAGGACCCTATTGCTTTGAGGTCGAGCTCCTAACAACTGCCCTTCTTTTTGTGACTGAAAAAAGACAAACTAAATCTGAGAGATTACTCCTGTATATTTCTTCGTGATTCATCAGATATTACTTAACTATGAACACAACTTTGTGACACCTATATACAAGCATATACAGAACTAGAACATTACATGGAAAAAGGGACTGAGAAACCATGGTACAAATATTAAAAACTCTGCACGACGGACCTGCATTCTTTGGCCAGGAGTCTCTCCCAGTACTGGCAGTCTGCAGCGCTGCCCGACATGGTGCCCAGCAGGTACGGGTTGATCTCTATCACCTTGTTGACATCATTGGATGCTGCAGAGAAAGGAAAGGAGACATTTACAGAACCGACGTAGCCCAGTGAAGCACCAGTTTGGTTACCCTTGTTGTCTCATCTACATTTTGTGACCTAATGGTCCATATCTTTTATATTCAAAAGCTCCTCACCTTATTAAAACCCTTGGGATTTGAGTTGATGAGAATCTTTTGACATGTTATGTATTGGATTGTGACTGATTGGATCATGTCACTTTGATTTAATTGAAACACAGGAGCTGATAGATTGTCAGACTGTGAGGAATGACAGTTTTATAATCCACTTTCCACATTCCAGTTTTTTGTGCAATTTCATTTTGTTTTCAACATTCTCCAGGTTTAGACATGCGTATTTACCTAAGTAACGGCCAGCAGAGGCTCTGGAGTCCACAGCCACGATGACTCCATGTTTGAACTTGAAGGCCAGGGTGGTCGTACCGTGGTTCATGTCTATACACACACCCCCTTCACGGTTGCAGGACTTGAGAAAACCTGATGGCTGAAGTAAAACCAAAAGAAAGGTGTCAGTGGGACGCCTCATGTGTAATGGCACTGTATCTGCGTCTGTAAGATAATAGTAGTCAATTATCTACCAGAACTAAATATAATTTGACAATACCTCGAAATAATTAAGTAAATGCATGATATTACATTTCACAAAACGCAGATCTACTGAAAACCACAGACGCGTAAAATAACTTGATCCACAGGGCGTCTGACGCGTCATGCTTGGGGCAGATTTACCCGAAATATTCAGTATATTAGAGCTTTTCTACGTGAAACTATACTTACGTCTACACCCACAGGTACAGCGAATTCCTGAGTTTTGGTCCCGAAATTGTAGTGGTTGGTTCGGTCTACGAGATGCGTCTTTCCAGATGGAAGAATCTGTTCACGAAGTTCAGCATACTGCTTAAAACCAGTTACTTGGAAAAGAGCCATTATGTATTAAAGATGATAAACTAATTCTGTTTTTTGGTTTCTGTAGTTTTCAAAATGACAACTGGCGACTGGCAAAGCGTCAATGATAATTTCCTCGTTCTGTGCGTGACAAAGAATTCGAAAGTGAAAGGGTTTTAAGACTTATTTTTCTCATGTCCTCTGAAAAGACCATGCAGAATTCCTCAATTAATACTAATAGTAATAATACATGTCTATATAAAGGTTGTTTTAGTAACACAAAAGTTAATTGATCAAAATAAACCCCAAACTCTGAAATATTTATTTTAAAATAACAAAATGTGTCTCAAAAACGTATAAACCAATCAGAGAGCACTATATGTGTTTCATCATCAGTTACTAAGCGGAAAAGCAGCCTTCAGGTTTAGGAAAGCCAGCAGATACATTTCGACTTGTGTTTGCATTATTTTATAAAAAATACACAATATAAAGCAGGTTAATGATACAGTTTGACATGTATTTTAACAAATTGTGCATTAGCCTATAAACTCTTACTGGGTATGTTATCATAAGTGTATGGAAGAGGATTAGGGTCATATTAACTTTTTTGAGATCTGACCAAAATGAGATTAAAGTCAGAATTCTGTGATTAAAGTTAATGAATTCTTACTTTTTTCTGATTTTAATCTCAGATTTATTTTCTCAGAATTCTGAGATTAAAGTCAGAATTACATTTTTTTGGAAGCTTTTGGTCACATCCCAAAAAAAAGTCACATGTGGCCCTAGCCTCTTCTGGCTGCTGTTAAGAGCTTCAAATATAAATCAGCAAATAATTACAAAACATGACAAGAAATGAAGCAACACAGGTCACAAAGAATTTAATTTAAGATGTTTTTATTTAATCCTACACTCTAATACATGTCTCAGTCTTCTCAATATGGCTTTGTAGACTCTTTTAATGAAGCCCTGCAGTATACTGAACGATTCCATATCACAGTGAATCATAGCAACAGAGTAAAGAATATATGATGACAATGTAAATCAAATTATCTGAGATGTTTTATTTCTTTTATTTAACATGTAGTGAATAACAATGACATGAAATGAAAGCCTTTTTAATTTTACTACTAAATGTTGTGATTGTGCTGTGAGGCTCAGACTGTTTCCATCTGCTGCACGCTCTCCTGTACCACCTCCAGCTTTAAGGGGACTACTTTCTCCGTCAGAACCGGAGTGGTGCCTGGAGGATATCTGTATTTCATTTTCCTAGGAGAGAGGAAGAGAGAGATATATGGGTGAAGCTTCAATCATCACATTCCAAACTATTGTTTTGCTTGTAGTGGAGTAGTAAGTTGTTAAATAATTAAAAAACTGAACATTACATGTGAGTCGCAAGCAAAAACACACACAATAGATAATGAAAAATCACACTGCCAGGAACAGACTCAACATATTTTGTACTGTCTGAGAAGGAAATCTGATTTGACATGGTTAAACCTAAAATCTTCTTTAAAGTCGTACTGGCCTACCTGCTGTCTTTGTACTCTGACTCCTGGTAGGGTCGAATGTAGTCCACTCCTTCTCTGGTGATGACACAGATGTCGATGTTGTTTCCTGAGGCGAGGTCATTCATGATGCCCGCATGGATGGCAACACGCACCAGCTCCTTCGCCGTATCCAGCTGAGAGTTTAGAGAAATGATGGGGAAATTAGACAACCAGACACATAGAACACGAAGGAGAAGACACGGGCCTTCAGAGACATTTCAACAGTGAGGAGAATTCATTTATTTTTCTTACATTTTCTCAACTGTTTGCATATAATAGAGGCTGATTTGATATCACTGCAGATACTCAATTAAATATTCCCTAAGATCCCCTTTAAGATTGTTTTGTGATTATATTTAAACGATCCCGACTAATCGTCACAATATGTAATATGTGGTGTACCTCCATGTCCTGTTGGTACCTGTCCTCTAGAATACCAAGAGCAGCCAAATCACCAGATCCTGCGTGGAAACCAAGTGAAATCAGATAAACAGATTAGATAAAAAGGTAACAAATAACTGAAGAACTTTAAAATATATAATGTAGTATAGAAAAGTAAGTTATAGAATCAAATTATCATAATCTCCAACACTTTTGTATGAAATAAAGCACTTTTTGATCCAGATTTGATAGTTAATAAATCTATACAAACTATTGTATTTGTCATTTTCCCCTTTTGTCTTGTTGATTTAATAACAATTTCATACATCAAATTACACATTAGCAACCTAAGAAGAGCATCACAAAATCTCCACCGGCAAGAAATCCTAAGAAAAGGTGACACAGTGATAATGCTGCCAAAACTTGTTGAATAGAGTTATGTCACTTACCCATTGCAAGGTAAGGCACCTTATTAACACTCCCATATGGCCCCACTGTGTACAGATGGTTCCCAGTGCAATCTACTCCTCCCAGTATCAGACTGGCACCGATTTGGCCATGGTACCTTAGGAGCACAGAGATGAAAACATACAAGGACTGATGAACACCACGTGTCATTCACACATCTCTAAATACCAGTATGTGTGTGTGGAACACTAACCTGTACAACATATCCTGTAGTATGTTGACCGCCATGACGAGACGAGGGTTCCTCCCGCTGGTCTGAGAGAAGATGGTAAGGTTGGAGGAGAGAAGCCCTGTGGTCTTCTCTGTATCTGCGGCTGTACCTGCTCCGCAACAACTATGGAAAGAAGAATAATTAGCATTGAGAAGATTGAGAGGGAAATAATAGATACAAGAAAAAAAGGGAAAAGTAGTGTAAAGGATTATTTCTCAAGCCCCTATTTTGCCTAAAGGTTCATAGAATCCACCATACAAAAAACATTCCGCAGTAGCCTCAATAGACCACAATGCAATGCAACAACACCTTGCATCTTGAGCAATCTGTCATGGATAGAGTGTTAAGCTCTCTTTAGTAGACTCTTGAATTTTTCTCCATTGGACTGTGTACTTTCTAGCCACAACTGATTTTACGTGGCAAAACGTAATACTTATTACAAGATCACTGTAGGGCATTCTGGGATATATAGGGAGTAAAGAAGGGAGTTAATGGTCAAATGTGCAACACACCAAACAAGAGTAACCTTTTTCTGCAAAACAGAGCCTTACTATATGTTTGGAGCAATGTAATGGATCTTTGAACACATCTTGTCAGCCACCACATCACTGGATGTAGCCCTGGTGTCTGCTCCCAGCACCACGCCATCCTGCACCAACACAAATGGGGATACTACGTTTATTATTCAAACTATATTTATGTGCCTGCCATGCATTACAACAACATGTTCATACAAACAGTGCCCCTTTCTACAAAAACAACCCTCTGAGGGCCAACGGGGAAGGCACTCACACACACATTAACCATTTGAATTTTTAGAAATCATACAGAACCACAAGTAATTATATGAAATCAGATTTTTTTAAATAGTATGAAAATACCACATTTCGCAGTATGTTATAGTATATTACAATGTTCATGTTAAAGTTATGTTTTTTAAACAAAATAATGCAGTTGTCTCATGCAATTAAACTTTTTCTGCATGTTGCGTTTTTGGGGAATGAATAACAATGTTAATAGTTATATGTATTGCAACTGTACTAAAGTAAATGTCTTGGTGCATTAATATTCAGTAAATGCAGTTTACACAGCTTTTTATAGTCACCTTGAACACCACTCCTGCTATGGTGGTGCCTGTTTTCATAGGTTTAGGTGTTTGTCCACCATCATAAAGACCCTCTAAGGCAGCATTCCTAGTGAGATGGAGGGATGAGAGTGTTATGGAGGGGATCAACTGATGAATATACGTTACAATTATAATCACCGTGAAAAATAATCACTACACTGCTTTATGAACTAAACTGATAAACAAGAAGGAAAAAGTTACTTTCACTTTTGATCCCAATGCTCAGCGTAACCGACAGTTTAATGTGTTACTTTCTGTAAAGATACAGTCAGCAGCTCAAAATACATAAATAAGAGACTCATACCTTGCTGCGTTGTCGAAATTAAACCCAGGTAAAGGGGTTTCGAGGACATTTGATAGCGCCATACTGGATACTGGACTGCGGCTTCTCTGCGCGTCTCAGCTCGCCTGAGGTCGCTGTTCTGAGCGTCACCTCTCCCTCTTCTCTTTCGATTTTGGAGTGAAAATGGAGAAACACTGCACGAACTCTCAAGTCAAAGGAGTCAGCACAGGGGTGAGTAAATCTGGACCACTCGTATATTTTTCTATATAAGAATACCAAAGCCTATTGTGCGTAAAATGATCGTTATTGTTTTCACGAATAAACAGGTGATGCTAAACCTGAATAGTAACCAAACACGATGTTAAGTGAAATCGAGTGGACACTTCATGAGTTTTATTATCAGTTATTGAATACTTGTCATCTTTAAACGTGTTTATTCTTTACATTTCTGCAAAATCAGCAAGTGGCTTTTCACGTTTACTTTATATATCCCCGAAAACAATTCATTCGCAGAACTCCAAATCCCAGAGTTCATAGCCTTGTGCAGTGGGCTGATAGGACAAGAAACCATGAGAATAAGGAAGTGTGTGATGCTGTATAACTCAGTATTGTGTGTGTGACATATTTGGCTTAATATAAACTTCTTCAATGCTGAATAATGACAAATTATCTACCTGTCCCCTCAGACCACCATCCTGGCTGCCACCTTTAATGGAGGGGTTGTGATTTGTTCAGATTCCAGGGCTTCCATTGGAGGGTGAGGATGTTGTGACCATAAAATACCCTTAAAGTTGCATTTACTTTAAAACACATTCATACAGAATGAAAGGGGGACAGCTTAATACCATGTATGATAAAGATACACAGTGGATACACAAAAGCCAAGCTGTGCAAACCTTTAAATATGTGTTGTACAGACCCATTAATGCAGAATAAAGGTACAATGTGTTTCATTTTGTAAGTACAAGAGGCCAAGTTTTTCATACCAGTTTCAAAACAACGTGCAGTGTTTCAAATTTCGAAATCAACCGAAGCTTCGGTAGTTTTCAAGTCATGGCTTCATTTGCAGATTAAAATGTGTTTAAATATTATGACAACTTCTCAAGACCTGCATGTTACACCTTTCCAGAAAAAGGATTAATTTGATCTTAAAAACTTCTTAAACATTGTTCTCGTACATGTTCTTGCT